AAGCGATTGTCGCCGACGATGCAATCACTGAATTCAAGTGACTTTTAGTTTCTTAGGCGATTATATTCTTCAAGTGCTTTTGTCTATGCTGTAGGATATGCCTATTAATTTAATTTTTATGTTGTGTTTTTTACTTTTACCATACTACCAGTATAATTAGATCTCACTAAAGGAATATAAAGCGGTATGTAATTACGAGTAAGACGTGAAGGTACATTAAACTTGATTTCACCGATTAAAAATTTCGAATCAATTTGACCACGTAAAAGTCTTATTAAAAATATAGATCTTAGCATTGACGCCTTGGTTCTGGTTTTGGAAGATTAATAAGTTTTAAACGATCTTCATAAGGGGGGAGTGCTTCAACTGTACTCCAAGCTAAATTAAATCGCAATTCATCATCTAAGAGAACCCCAAGGTCAACAAAGGAGTCAACATTGTCTTATTTGTAAGATCCTATAAAATAATCGGTAGGAATTGAACGACATTTGGATAGGCATACTTTTTTACATTTGTTTAAGATTTAGTGACATACCGTTAATACTACACCAGTATTCAAGAGAGTACAAATCATTTTGTAGAGTAAGGGCTTGATTTTGTGAGTCTAAATTTCTGAAACGTTTTACATCATCAGCAAACATCAACACTTTAGAAAATTGAGTCACTGATGGAAGATCATTAAGGTATAACACAAATAATAATGGACCTAAATGGCTACCTTGAGGAACTCCAGAATGAACATCAATATTTCTAGAGCAAATGTCATTATAAGAATCCAGGACAAAAATTTGCATGGAAAACCCATGGCATCCTATTTAAATAATAAAAGTTTGTGTAACACCGTATCAAACGCTTTACTAAAGTCCCTTTTATGAAACCATGTTGACAAGGTGAAATTATTGGCGAAACGAAATGAATTATTCTACGTGATATGAAGTTCGAAAAGTTTTGGAATGGCGCTTAATTTTGCAATACCCCTATAATTTTCAATAACATTTCTGCTATCAGACTTATGTAAGGGGATAATGAAGCTAGATCACTAGAGGAAAGTATCCTGTAGGCAGCGAAATATTAAAAAAAAATATTAAAAAATATAAGCCCAAGTTTTCAATATATTGGCAGGTACTCCATCAGGACCTGGGGAGCAAAAATACTTTATTGATACTAAACCATTCAACACTTCATCTTCTGTTAGAAGAAAATTAGGGAGATTTTATTTTTTATCAATATTAAAAGCATAATTTGAGTTGAATGGTAATGTAGAGTATGTACTTTGAAAGAAATCTGCAAACATGTCTGCTATTTCAACCATATCGCCGTACTTCATACTACTAGGAAATTCTCTAACTTTTCTTTTAGAATTAAGAAATGTATAAAAGCTTTTAGGATTTAACAGAAGGTTTTGTCTCATTTGGTCAGATGATTTGAATCTTCTTGTTGTTTTTATTTTTGGCTTACCTAAAAAATAAAAAAAAATAAATATGAGAAATGAGAGCAAACCAAAAATTAAAAAAAGTGTTAGGAAGATATGGGAATTTTTATGGATGTGAATCGATTTTAATTAAACATTCTCAATTAAGGGGACCTCCCCCATTCTCTAACGTGTAAAAATTTGGAACCGATTGAAGTTATCGTGCTGCCTCGAGAAAAATGCATTTAAAGTTTGAGAATCACTCTTGCCGTCACTTGATGCTGACACAATAAATCTGCTATATCTTCAAGAGTTCTTGAGATTTTCACTTGAAATTTGTAGTGACATTCTTCAATTAGTTTAGAATCGAATTAAAGCAAAAAACTAAATTATTTTTTTTGACACCGATAATGGGGGTCCCTTAAATAAAATATACGTAATTCATTACAAAATAAGAATGAAGTATGTAATTATGTATGTACACAATTATGCTTTTGTTAGTTACGCCTTTTTGCATTTTAGCTAACGATATGTCAACCTACACAACAATATCGACCATTTCAGTAGCACATAGTACCTTTGTTCTCTTATAGTATGTATTGCAAAAACTGCCTCCATACCTGAACCACTACACACCAATTATAATCCAACAGAAATCTAGCTCTATACCAAATTTCAGTGTTCCAGCTCTATCGGTTCACATTAATCCAAATGATTCCAAATTTAGTACCATGTAGTACACTTTGGTAGAACTTCCTACCAATCCAATCCTACACCCCAACAGTGATCCTAACTCCAAATTTCATGATTCCAGCTCTATTAGTTCACCTAAAAATTAAATTGTACAAAATGTTGTTTTGCTGTTAATTACATGCTGGACTAATATATTTTTTTTAATTTGTTTTGTAGATGCGAATCTATTCATTTCTGTTGCTTAGATATTACCAACAATAGTCTTTACTGCTTTCTTTTTACATGGCTGGGGAACCTTTTCTGTTTTCTAGTTTGTTAATAAAAATTCATATATTATATTAGTATACGAACGGTATAGTTTTAAAATAAATTTAAAATTGGTCTGAAATTTGTTACTTAGAATTCATAAATTATATTAAGATATACACTGTATAGCTTTAAGATACGTTTTATAATGCGAAGTACACGTTTGTAGTTTTTGGCATGTTGCGATATTTATTGGCCAGATGGCTTTTTCGTCGCAATGAATAAAATAAATACATGTAGTACACATAAGTACGAATTTCCCAAACAACCAACATATCTTAATTCTACAATGCAGTGCTAATCTTTCGTAAACGCATTCAAAACCACCTTCTTATATTGGCCCTTATCGCTCAACCTTAATTCAAATTTTAAGTTTCAAGTTTTTAACTCCATACATTCACAAATTGTACCAAATTTAGTACATTTTGGTACTGTACGGAATTTCCATCTGTTCTACACTTCATCAGTTTTCAAAATACAAATGGGACCACATTTAGTACTTTATTGTGCTTTTAGTGCCGTTCTAGTACGAATTTCCAACAACTCAGCCGTATCTTTGGACCCCAAATTTCAAGATTTTAGCATCAGAACATTCGTCTGGGCGCTGATGAATCGTTAAGTCAGTCTGTCTATCAATCACTTTACTCTTTATTAGATGATCTAAAATTGACTTTTATTTGGTTAAAATTTCTGATCATTTTTTTAATTATAGCATCTTTTTTTCAATTCGGAGAGTATTTTTCAGTCTGTCTATCAATCACCTTACTCTTTATTAGATGATCTAAAATTGACTTTTATTTGGTTAAAATTTCTGATCATTTTTTAATTATAGCAGCTTTTTTCAATTCGGAGAGTATTTTTAAATGACATTCAATGCCGTTAATTCTATGTATATTTCATAAAAAGGTATATAATAATTTATGACTAAAAATGTAAATATTAAATTACACATGGACAACGAAAAATTATACTCGATATGAGTAATGGCTACACTAACATCGAGGGTGTTGGCGTTGGTGTGTAAACAAACGCAATAGTGCACTTAAACGAAATATATGAGAGAAACTCCTGAACAATAATGCCAAGGAGATTTACTTTGGGCAGCTAAATCCAAAGTGTAGATATGCATTTATGATTTGAATGAACATGGAGATATGGGTATTCTGGCTAATATAAGCACGGAAAACACAGGGAATTTTAACATCTTAAAGTAGATCAAATGGATATTATTCTCAAGAAAGCATCATTTAGAACAAGTAAAAAATATGTTGTTATGATCTAATTTTATAACATACTGATCATTTGTGAGGGAGGTACCGGAAGGAGAGAATTACTGGGCCCCATCTTCGGACTTGATATGGATTTGAAAGATCCTTTCTATGCTTTTGCATTTTATTGGGTTGAAACCCAGTATCAGGAACAATAAACGATGGCAATACTGTTAGGCGTTATGTTTAAGTGTTAGCCAACCTGGCACAGTAGCATCTATATCTGGCGTTCATTCTTTCAAAATGTCAACATGCAGAACTGACAATCAACGAAAACATGAATAATTAGTATGGCTATCGCTAAAACTATGCATGTTGTCATAATATAAATGCAATACATTGAAATGAAAAAAGTTATCCTCTGAGTCCTAACAGTTTGATTTCACGTCATGGGTATTAACATTTACTACACTGAAAATACCATTATATCATGACATATAAAATGAAAGAAAGATAGACCTTTGGAAGTATTTTTGGAAATCGCTATAATTATATGTTAGTAAATTTAAAAACAAGATCCAAACAGATTACAAAATTTTGTCAGATAAACTATTGGTTATTGGCATAGTGTTTCCTCAGATCTTATCAGCTGTTGTATAAATCACAATATTGTTGTGGAAAAGTGGTTCTATAACTTGAACCGTTCTTTGCCATTCACAATTTTCACAAACACTATGTATCATCATTGGGTCACATTTTGCAATAACCAATATATTGACAATATATAGTTCAAAACTTTACAATTCGGGAAATATTATGGATTAATTCAAATCTATATGACAAAGAGCAATATCAAATAACTTCTTTTGTCGGAGCAAGTCGAAAACACCACCAGACGAACAATCTCATTTAGTTTAAAAAATAAAGTGCAATTAATGTCTTGACCGAATTGAAAATCGCACAAGATGGCAGAATGAAGATAAAATCAAATCATGTGATGTGGAATTAATAATTTTGAATTTTGAAATAAAAATAACATGTAAAAAATTAAAAATACGTGTTCTGTGCATACATACATTTCTTAATTTTTTAAATTTATTCATCAATTCATAACATTTGTTTGAATCTCGATAAATCATTAGTTATATTATATGAATATTTAATATTTATGTCAACAAAAACTTAACATATTTTCTAAATTTGTTTGGGCATTCACTTGTATGATCATAATTGTTGTACAAAAACAATATTTGAATTGAGTAGGTCTTGTTAAAGAATGTTTTGAACATTTTATATAACTATAAGTAACTACAAGTTTTTGGTAAAATTGTGGAAATATATTTGGTTAGAATCACACACAAAATAAAAATGATTGCACTTACCTACACATTAACGCCAGTGCTTGTTGCCTTTGTACTTGGGTACGTTGTGATGCGAGTTGCTGAAAATAAAATTATAGAAAGAATTACAAGATATTTATGAATCGAATATGAGTATGTTTATGCACATATACAATATGTGAATATTTTTAAAATATCAATTCAAAAATCCAATAAACATCAAAATTTCGTAATAAGTATTAGAACTCTGTACGAACTCAAATAAAACAACCACCTTTTTATTGTGGAGAATATAAAGACTGTTGCCTTTGCATTTATAGTATTAGCTAAACAAAATTAAAAAATAAATTTTAAAGGGAAATTTTGGGAAAATTTATTTAATTTTCTATAATATTGATTTTTTTAAATATTTTATTTTTCCAAAATTACGCTTACAACGAAGACAACGAAGATATTTTAACCCTTTCAATGTTTTTGTCGAATATATTCGACATTCTTTGCGATTTTTCGGTTATCCTATGTACCGTTACTATTGATGTTTTTGTTTTTGCTGGATGACAGACGAAACTGTCCGAGGGTTAAAATTAAAATTGCTATTTTTTCTAAACTCTATGGCTTTATATGATTTTAAATACAAAACTTTAGATTTTTATTCCGACAAAAAAATTTTTGACACTGAAAGGGTTAAGACATTTTGTTCACAGAAATCTGAACTCTTATAGAAAATTTCTTTTATAACGCAATATTTAATCGGACCCAACTTTTGTCTTACCTTGGATATAACGAACTATTTTACTTGGTCCTTACTAGTACGGTTTAGAGAAACCCAATTTGTTTGTTTTTCTTTTGATCGTCTTAGGGAAACAGGCTTTCTGTCTATTTATGTGTGTCTTTTGCACTGACATTGCTAGTATTCCTAGGACGTTTGCTATTGCAAATAGGATATATCGGTCCGCGTTTGGTGTAGTCCCATATACTAAAAATTATAATATTAACCCACGTTAATATTGACTACCAAAAATTATTATTCATATCGATACCCATTTTGGTGTAGCCCACAATTAGGTATTTTGAGAATTTAAATCATATTCTCTCACGTCTTTTTCGGTATGTTCAAAGTCCTATCATAACATGAGTTTCTCCTAGGAGTCTCCCATTATTTTTGATATTTTGAATGTCATCCTCATTATAGAGGGTATAAAAAGTTCGTCTAGTCCGAACATAACATCATTTTCACGATAGATATCTAAATAAGCTTTGAAATGTTGCACTAAGGTTATTGTTACTCCCAGGAAGTATGGTATTGCAAATGGTAATCGGTCCACGTTTTGGTATAGCTCTCATATAATTGTCCCGCCCAATTGTCGCTATTTTGGGAGTTTTAACCACATTTCCAACATAAAAGCCTACAATTTGGCTTTTCGTTCGTATAACGAATTTTTAGGTTTTCGACTGTCAAAAAGGCGATAATGTCGAAAACGTCATTACCTGTATAAAATGTAACAAATGTAGTAAACGTCATTTATTTCAATATTATCACCATATACATACATATATTTTCTTGAATATATATTTTTTTATTTCTTTACGTATTCCTCTCTAGAATTGATAAAAATTTTAAACTTTTTTGAGAAGAAAACAAATTTACGCAATTTCCAAAATGATTAATGGAAATAGCTATTTCCATTAATGTATGTCATTTACGTCGGAAATGTATGTCATTTACGTCACTGACGTCATTTACGTTTCTGACGGACCATCTCTGATACCTGATACCTTTTCAAGAAACCGACGGGTCTCTTATCTATCTAAAATAATAATAAGAAGATAATTTTCTTTTGATGGTTATAACGATTCAATGTTTTTCTAAAGGGAATCCTTTATATTGAATATTTTAGACGACTATTCCAACGATTTCGTTATTTCATATATTGAGTGACAGAACTAAATATGAAAGACATGTATATTCACAGAAATAGTTCAATTGCATACCTTACTGTCCATTCATGTACACTATTTCGATAATCACGCGTTATTGCCTCTCTAGAATTGATAAAAAATTTTAAACTTTTTTGAGAAGAAAACAAAATTACACAATTTCCGAAATGATTAATGGAAATAGCTATTTTGTCAAAAATGTAATGGTTTTGTGCTGGTTTCCGACGGTTCTGACGTATGTATTATACGTCGGAAATGTATGTCATTTACGTCACTCACGTCATTTACGTTTCTGACGGACCATCTCTGATACCTGATACCTTTTAAGAAGATCATTTTCTTTTGTGTTTAAAATAAGAACTTATCACAACTTATTGTAGAAAAATAAATTAATAAATTAAAATATTTAGCAGTCCCTCTGTGCCATTGTATACTAAACCCCTGTTTCATTGTAAAAATATAAAAAATAACTATGCATATTGTTAGCCATTAACATCTAAACTAACTCTTGATTTATGGAGTGAGTCAATTTATTAACTATATATGCATCTACCGTTAAATGATGCAAACACTTTGAAGCTCGATTTTGAGTGTTTTTTTATTCTTCTTCTAGATTAAATGCGCAATCAGGAATTTCCTAACATGAATTATATGATTGTTGTACTCGCGAATCTAAGTAACTTTATATATATTTTGGGTAGTAATATACAGAGCTTCACAGCAATATCCATCCAAAGTTGAAAATTTTGTGCGATGACATTTCTATAAAAAAAACTATTTATCGGCGAAATTTGTATAACTACATTTGATTCATAAGGGTACTCGCGATCAGTAAGCTGTTTTACAAAACCAAATTTGAATAAAACTGTTTTTGAAACTATCGCGGAGTTAATTGCATTTTCACATTCATGATTTTTGGTACATAGGCTAAGGAAAATATGCTGAAGATGCGCACAGAAGTTGTAGCGGTTTTAAATCTTGTATTTCAAATATAAATTAAATGAATTTCCATTTATTGTAATTCGCGAATTTCTTCACAAATGGTTAAACACATTTGTTTTCTTTGCATGCTTGTCGAATCATTAATTTGACAATTAATAAATTTTTTAATTAAAACAAAACTATTTTTAATTTTCGATCTTTTTAGTATGGTTAAGGGAATACGTTTTTGACGTAATTTTCTAAAATATGTGACGCTTTCTTCTTCAAAATCTTTTAGATGATTGTTAAATATCGGTAGATTCTTCTGATAACAGTTTCGACTTTAAAAATGGGCAAATATTTTGCAATTACAATACATAAAAATGATAAACATTAAAAAGCATGCAAATCGCGTATTGGTTGAAATCAGTTGTTGTACATGCGTTGCGTTGTTTAGCGACAAATCAGGAAAGAACACAAAAAACTTGTTTTTACTTGTTACCACGATCACACGCTTCCAATTTATTTATTACCAATATTTTAAGATTTTGACAAGAACACTTTATTTTATAGAAATGCATTTAAATTATATGCAATATGTTCATATTTCGCGAGTTATAAGCTATATTCACATATGTACACAGGAAGTGATTATTTTAATATGTGTTAATTTTTTGGGTGAAATTCAACTAATACAAAAGAATAAATCCAATATTTTTTTCTGAAATTTCTATTATTATTAAAAAATAAATATGATGGCATTATTTTTTTCAAGCCAAAAACAAATAATTTTCCACAATATCTTGCTTTGTTGTGGCTGTAATTTACAAACCGCTGCACATATTTGTGTGATTTTGATACCGTTTTATTGATATGTAGCATACCAATTTTAGTTATCACGAAGACACTGTTCAATTCTACGTTGTCAAATCCACTTCGATCCTTTTGTAAGTACAAAAGTACATAAGAAAAATTGGATTTAAAATTGATATGCTACCAGAAAACCATTTATTAGCGGTGTTAATATTCAACGACGTGTTTTTTTTTTGCAAAAAGCACCAAAATGTTTTTACGGATGAGAACAAATTCTATATAAAAAGATTGGATGGAGAACAATAGGAACATATCTCGTTATAATCCATCCATTTTATTGATTTATTTACGACAGCAAAGGACTATTTAAACATTCTAAAGCAAAAATTGAAGCAAAATATAGTCCAAATGAGGATCTCGCGGGACGTTATCTTTCAATAGGATAATGATCCCAGACGTATCACGCTAGATTCCAGACTTTGGATCCTGTACAAGATCTTAATCATATTGCAAATTTGAGTTAATTGAAATGGAAAATATGAAACATTATAGCATCAGAATCGTGAGGGACCTCAAAACAGTTTAAAAGGCGGAATGGGATCAAATATCACCCGGGTTAACCTCCAAACTAGTCGAATCCTTCGCAGTCATAAAAAAGCATCTACAACTTTATATTTTTTTGTTGGTATTTTTACACTATACGGCTTTTGTCATCCATAATATGAAAACTTCACCATCTAGTGGCTGAAAAAATTAATTTGGTATACTTAAGCATGTTTTTTTCATAAAAATTATAAATCTAGGTGCAATTTTGAATAATCCGTAATCTAGCGTTAAAATAGTTTGTGGTTTATAAAACAATTCCATTTAATTGCATACCATTACAAAATTACAATTGTTTTGCTAAAAATTTTCATTGTAAACATTGTAAAAAACAGCCATAAATATGTACCGTTATTCCCTTTTGACTAATTATACCGAATTATTTTTTATTTCCTTAAATGCAGTCTACAGTTTAATATCTCTCATTTTATCCCATTTTTATGTCAACATAAAACTGTTACGAGACGTCGAGCATATTTTTAGTAAAATAACACTAATAATCCGAAATTTTTATTTACACTCGATCCGACAATCGTTTTGACAAAAAGAGTTCAAAAATTAATTAGTCTCTTAACTACTTTTAGCCAATGTTTGTAGGATGTGTACTCATAATATATATTAATACTACCTGTTGTTGGTGGGCAAGAGTTTGCTTCATGAGAACCATTTTAATACTCTGCTCCATCGCGTATTTCTTTGCTTTACTGACGGCATCATGTTGGTCCGATGATAGTTTTGGAAGTGCGCCGCCGAGCAATCCCAATAATGGCGATCTGGTTCCAGGGCCAAATTTAACATCACCTGTCTGCTTAAGATCGTATACAGGCTGTGAAATGTAAGGAATTTTACTATCTGATTTTCCTGAAAATAAATGAAAGCATGTGCTAATTATTATGTGAACATCAACAGTGCTTTGGCACGTACGGTGAAAGTTTAAAACTTTAACATCTAAAGACTATTATTTTGTTCACGTACTTCTATTCGGATAAAGCAGATTGCCACACAATTTTTTGGAAAACAAGTAAAATCTTCAAAACTATGTGGTAATTGTTCTAAATCAGAAAAACAGTATATGAGATCTTGAAACCAATATATGCGATAAAAGTTTGCGTTTCAACGGTTCTTTAACAATAAAAACTAAAACAATGTGCATGAAGTTCGGATTAGGACAGAAAATAACAAAATACTACATAAAATGTTGCTAGAGAATGTATGTGTGAGTGTGGATATATGTCTCCAACTAACCATTTTGTTGGCTATTAATAATGACATTGTGTAAAGTTTCAAAAATGGCTGAATGCAATTGCACATATTCAGACATGTCACATATTCCGATAAGAATGGTTTCTATTGCATATTTCCATTCTGATCGTTTTTATTTTACCTTCTCCAAATTCCGATCGATTTGATGAATTCAGAAAACTGAAATTATATCCCTTTTCATATTTTAAATAGGACAATATTACTTTAATCGAAACCAAAACCATAAAAATGTATATAATTTAAAACAATAAAAAAATAATACAATTGTTTTTGTTGTTATCATTAACCTGTGATGTATTATTTTACTTGTTGGATTCGTTCCGGCTTTAGATTAAATAAAAATCAGTATTTTGTTTTCTATTTTTTATTTTCCTATATTTCGACTGTCTTCGACAATCATCTTCAGGGAAATAGTTATGAAAGAAGCAAGAGATTTGTTACACCGTCTATGCTAAACTGCAACTGCTTTGGAATAACAGATTTTGAAGAATTTTGTTTTATTTAATTTTTCTATTTTTGTTATAGTGTTTCATTCGTATTGTAAAATTCAAGGTCAATTAAGGTCGTATAAGAAGCGAATATTATCGGCAATTGTGGTTGGAAATCCCCCATACTGTCAATTGTTTTGCTTACGTACGGAGAAGTACAAACTCGGGTGAAATCATCTAGCCTTATTAGCCCATACTAAAATTATTAATTATTTTGGTTTGAAGAAAATTGGGGTTTAACGAAAAAATGTGTGGAAACACTTCGTCAAAAAGTGCTTTATTTTTTTGATAAATAACTATAGGTAATTAATTCCACTTTCAATCGGAATTCATGTCTGTGACTTGCCTGACAGATTTTGTTTTGATTATAGCAGTGTTGCCATATTTCAACTATACAAATGGAGTTCGTTTCAGTTTTCAGAATTCAGCAAATCGATCGGAATCTAAACAAAACTAACGAAATGTAATTACGGAATTAAAATCAAAACTTTTGATAATAAAACAATAACAAAAAAGAATAAGATAAAACAAAAAATTAATAGTCAGATGTATAGTATTTTTTATTTTCTATAGAACGTTGTGACCTGCTGCGACTTGTTTGGTCCATTTTTCAATTTTGTTTTGAAACGCTGTACTTAGATTTTTGTCAAAAGTTGCACCAAAGGTTGAATTAGTACGTCAAGAATGATTGATTGAAAAAATAATTTTTCCCCAATTTTGTTAGTAATAAATATAAATGTTGTTTTATGAAATAAAATATTCGATTTTAACACTTATAGTATAATAGTAACATTGAACACACATTTGCATAGTTTTAATATTTTGTATGGCCGCCCTGTTCTTTGGTTGCCGTTTAGCTACTAGGTCAACTACCGATATATTAAATGAAAATCGAACTTTTTATACCTCTCAATACATAGATTCCTTAAATAGGTCAGGACATTTATATGGGGACTATGTTAGAGCATTATGTGGTAGTAAGTTGTCCACGCTCTGAAAAAATAATGGTCAAATTATAGACACTCAGGTTAGAAAACGGGGGAAAGAACTTCAACATACCAAAAATTAAGCGGGAAATATGTATGACGCCTTTTTAAAACATTAAGCTATTGTGTATAATTTCTGAAAATACGTTTCTTAATCAGTTATGACAAATTATAGCCTATGAAAATATTGGTCAAAGTCGTTATAATACCGAAAATGAGGTGGAACCTGTATATAGGAGCTATATCAAAACTTGGACCTAAATAGAAAAAATTTCGGAATATGTATTTTACCCTCCAATATTCCGGAATGACATATTACAGTTACTACAATGGGAATGGAGGTATATTAGTTTTTGTTTTGAGAACTAGGGAGGATACCAGTATATGGGGGGCTACGCGGAAACGTTGACCAATGTTGATCATTTTTGGTAAGAAGATTATATGGGGCCTTTTCGTAAGCTTGGGCGAATATAAAATTACAGCCAAATACCGAATATTGAGGAATGTCATTATATGGGGGTTATCCGGATACTTGGGCTAATATAGATAATTTAAATATGGTGATTTTCAGCTCTATTAGTATCCCAAATCTGTTGAAAAACGTGTCAAAAGGCTTCAAAAAAGCTAATATTGGGGGGTTACCCTAATATTATTATGGGAGCTAACCTAAAGGGAGGGTACAAATAGCTTACTTAATATTGTGCTACGGTTATGTCGAAGTCTTATAAATATATTGGGAAAATTTTATTAAATCCGAAAGTCAAACTTATGAATGCATTTGAATTAATTTTCCACGAATTCAATTATTAATAATATTATTAATAACTCTATAACAAGGTATTACAAACGATCTGTACACTCAACCTTATGGTGGAGGGTATAAAACAAAATTTAAATGTCGAAAATTATACGTCAACAATATTGCTAAAGGAAGACAACGATTGCCAGGTCAACTAGTTATTATATACATACGCCATTGTGACATGTTCCGAGTGTTTTTGAATAATCATACTTTTATAGATTCCCATTTTTTTTAAAATGGTGTGCGCAATTCCGATCGAAAGTGCGGTTCGAAATCTAGTTTCGTTCAATGTGTTACGAACTGTATTCAATAACTATCAACAAAAAACATATGTTTTTAATGGATTTGCTATTTGTTTAACAACAAAATGAAGAAAAAATGCCCAAACGTTTGCTGCGCGTAGGAATGCATTGTTTATAAAAAATCTGCCATGTCTGCCATATAGAGGTCACAAAATTCTAGCCTTTACTATAACACGCTGTTATTAAAATGATCCTTTTTATTTTCTTTAATTTTACTAGAAAAGCTAATCTGAATACTGAATACTTTTAATTAAATATTGTAAAGATATGTTAAATATTAACTCTGCATTATTTTTTTAACTTTTAAGTGCTCAGAAATAACACGTACAATCTTATCTTTTTCGATCCACAACGCTATAGTGGGAAAATGTTGCACATTCGAGCAAACTCAAAATGCAGCACATGGGTGATAAAAAGAAAAGACTTAGTTACACCGCTTATAACTCAAGAACGGCTATACCTATTTTGGTGATTGGTGAATTTAGAATGGTGCATGATCTGGGTAGGATAATATCAAAAAAAAATCGCGAAAATCTGCGAAAAATTTACAAAATATATATATATATATATATCGTCAGATAAAATGCAAAAAGGAATAACTAACGAAAGCATAATTGTGTAGAAGAATCAAAAAAAAAAAAAAAACAGGTTTGAATGAAAACTATAAACATGTCAAAAAAAGTATGCCCGGCAGGGTGATATTGCATATCGTTAGCTGAAATGCAAAAAGGCGTAACTAACAAAAGCATAATTGTGTAGGAGAAGCAAAAAACAGTTTTGAATGAAAATTATAAACATGTCATGTGAAATGAAAAAATATGCCCGGCAGGGTGATATTGCATATGACGAATAATAGACTATATTTTTTTTAACAAATTTAGTTATTTAGTTTAATGGCAGTCATAACAATTAAGTAAACACGTGAATTTTTTGTTAGTTACGCCTTTTTGCATTTTAGCTAACGTATGACGAATAATAGACTATAATTTTTTTAGCAAATTTAGTTATTTAGTTTAATGACAGTCATAACAATTAAGGGGACCCCGCCCCCATTCTCGGGGTCAAAGTTTTTTTTGATTTAAATCGAATCTACACTAATTCAAGAATGTCCTTACAAAATTTCAAGTGAAAATCTCAAGAACTCTTGAAAATATAGCCGATTTATTGTGTCAGCATCAAGTGACGGCTAAAGTGCTTCTCAAACTTTAAACGCGTTTTTCTCATTTGCGAATGGCAGGCACGATAACTCAAAAACTAATAACACAATCGATTCCAAATTTTTACACGTTTCTCTGTGAGTGTATAGCTATTGTATGAACTAGGATAAAGCCAATCGGTAAAGATCTTCCTTATTTTTAAACTTGGTTTTTGGTCAAAAATTGGCGATTTTCCAAAAATATTTTTTCAAAGGTCCGCCATTTTGTTAATTTTAGAGCGAAGTCAATAATCCTAGTTCAAACGAGAGCCAGACATGTACTCTTTCTAACACCGTTGGAATTTTCGGATTCTGATGTTCCAGCGAGGAGTTATCATGCCCGCCATCAAAAATAAGGACTTTTCTTTAATTACAAAAAACAACAATAAAACAATAACAAAAATTTTTTGTAAATTATTTTTCTTCTCTTTTAAATCTTCAAATATATATGTGCAAAGTTACAAACCTTAACATGCATTGGTATTGATTTACCAGCCCATTGAAAATTTTGAAAAATTAAAATCGAGAATGGGTGGGGTTCCCTTAAGTAAAAACGTGAATTTTTTGTTAGTTACGCCTTTTTGCATTTATCAAATAAACCCACTTGTAGTTACGTCCTTTTGTTTTTTGTTAATTAATAATTTTTTGACCGCAGACGTGTAAAACTTTGTCAACACATGTAGTTTATTGACATTCACAATATTTATTAAAAAAAGTCAATTTTCAATTTTTTGTTATTTACGCCTTTTTTTCATTTTAGCTAACGTAATATGTATATATATATATATTGTTGTTGTGGCGCGATAATATCTTTGAAAAAATCGA